GGGGGGCGGAACCAGATTGGAGGGGCCAATTCCATTTTTCCAAATTCACAAGGCAAAGCAGGTATCCACATACCTGCTTCTTTGCCTAGATCACTAGATCAAGATTCTAAATGAATCCATTTCAAAAGTGTATTGACACACTGGCCTCCTTTCGCATTCTGCAGGAAGGCAGTGCAGTGAACTATTAAAGTAATTATGTGAAACACTTGTCCCGTTTATTAGGGCCACATACGTGTTTTCACCTGTGAGCCTAAAGTCTGGTATGCTTCAAACTGCAGAGCTAAATTCCTTCCATGATTAGTAGAGGCAGCTACTACAGACTTTGGATAAAACAATGGTCAACATCAGGACACAGTGAGTAACTACCACTGTCTCACATGGCTGCTATAAGCACACAATAATGCTGACTACTTGCTATTATACTGGGTAATGGAGAAAGTCAGACTAAGATTAATGTTTGGCTTATTAAGTGAACACAACCAACTAGCAAAAGATGCTTTACTAACTTATGAAAGTCATGCATAAAATGTCAGATCAACATGTTTGTACTTGTGACCATCACTAGCTATGACTAGAATAAATAAAATGTTTATTGTTGCGCAGGGGGCAAGTACCAATTTTTTTCAATATTCATTTGGTTGCTCTAAACAGTTTAAACTGCTACTGGTTTACATACATGATATTAACAGCTACTGCACAGCCAGAGGTGATTAGCATTGCTTCTCCTTCAATTTCATAGTTTCCTGAAATGATTCGTTCCACAGCCAAATACACCAAGACTCCAGTTACTACCCAGATGGAAAGGACAGATAGGAGGGCTCCCAGGATTTCTAAAAAATAAAAAGGATAGGATTTAAGCACAACAATCAGATGCTAAATTAATACAGTTTACATAAGGACAGAGAGAAAACAGCAGCCCCATTTGCTACACCATCAACTCCATTCCATATTCATAGTTATTCAATACCCAAATACTTTCTTAACAGTGTCAATGTCCCAGTAATACCACAATCTTGCCATTTCTGATGGGAAAAGTAACTTCATACCTGCCCGATGCCAGCCAAAATTCATAGTTTTTGTGGCTGGACGAGAAGACATCCAAAGAGCAAATAAACTTATCATCATGCTTGCAAAATCTGTCAGAAGGTGAGCAGCATCTGTCATGATTGCCAAACTGTGTGCAATGTAACCACCTATGAAAAGAAGTTGCAGAAGAATATCAATGGTTGGGGGGGGCTCTTTTTTTTTAATAAAGAATAATAAATAAAAAAACAAGCAAATTCCCCTCTTAATGTTAATCCATTGTCTCCGTCTTATCCCCCCAGTCTGTTCTACATTGTTAACTTTTCAAAGCAGTGGAAGTTGCCCATGTATAAAATGTATCTAACGAAACAAACAGTTGAAAAAAAAAATGTTTTTAAAATATACATTTTTATGTTTGCTGCATGAATCGGAACACACACATACAGTTGGAGGTTCCTCTAATTTGACTAAAAAAGGTGGAAATACACTTTAAAAAAGGAGATAAGTGCACAAAAAGCACACCTATTTACTTTTTTCAGCCTACTCAAGCCTAACATTGATGTCCTCCCCAATCTTTACAGCTTTGTGGTCCAGATAAGACCACAGCAGAATTATCCCTGCACATGCAGTACCTCAAAAATACCATGACTATAGTGAATAACATTTTTGATAACATTACGCCAAAGGGTTACTGTGCAATAACAGGGACCGATAGTGTTCTCCTGAAGCAGAGGAAGGAGAGGATTGCTCATAGGCTAGTTGTGGAAAGGGTTTCACCAAAGTTGCAGCATTTGAAACTAGTCCATCAGAGATATAGAATGCTGAGGAAGTGAAACAGTTCATGCTTAAAAAGAAAACATCTGCTGCTATTGTCTGCAGCAGGGGGAATGGTGCTATAGTCCATAATGGCTTACCGATAGACGCAAGCAAACTCTTACAATGGATACCTTGCCAGGCACTGATCATGCTGCCTGCACCATACAACTATGCTTCTTTATAATTTTTATCAATTGTGAATGGTTAAAATAGATTTAACTATGTATCCTGTAAAGTTTAATAGGGGAAATGCCCAAAATAGTTTTGTTTTTTTCAAGATTACTAAAGATGCAGTACATTCCTGAAGGTCCTTAATTATGAGCTTTGGGTGTGGGTCAACCATTTGCTGTTTGCAGTACAAAGATGAGGGATTCAGATTTATTTTTTCTGAAAGTGTAAAGCTTCCCTAAAGGTGCCCACACACCTTGCGATAGTCGTACGATAATCGCGGGAAATCCCGCGATCGTACGATTATCGTAAGGTGTGTGGAAGCCGTGCGACCTCTACTACTGTAAGGTCGCACGACTTTTATCTTAGGAACATGTTCGAAAACCCTGGCCCAGACCGCTGAGGAAAAAACAGTTGTGCTCCTGCATTGTGACTCTGTCAGTGGGCTTTGGGTTAAGACTTCAAGGAGCTGTTCCAACATACAGATTGGGAGATAAATACATCAGCAACTGAAGAGCGGAAGGAGCCGGGTTTTAACTGGACTCGGTGCAGCGCCACGGGTGAGGATACCTGGGGTTATCCGCTACATTGCCGGGGAATCCTGCACATATCGGTGAGCTAAGGGACCGGAATTACAGCTATTGAGAGGGGCTTGCTGTCCATACACCGTCTGGTGAGTAACCACCGTTTGGGGGGCTTCAGGTCGGGTGAGGAAGAATTGTGGAACTTTCACCAGAACGATCTTTTTTTCATATTGATTGATATTTTTTTCATTTTTTTTCATATTGATTGATATATTTTATTTCTATTTTTATTTTTGTTCGTATATATATATTTTTTGGTGCATTTTTTGTTAGTTCACATCACGGACTGAAATTTTTGGAAGGACTTGGGTTTTTTCATTCTTTGCACTTTTTTAAATTTTTCTCCTTATTTTTTATTTTTCATTTGCAAAACAATTTTGATTGGTGCATTTGCTTCACTGTTTTCACTGCTATTTTGCACTTCTTCACATATTTATGAAATATTTTTATTGAACGGTTATATACTGTTATACTTAGTTTTATGGCTTTTACATTGTAATATCCTTTTACATTTATTCACTTATCTTATTGAGGAATGGAGCTTTTCTTTTGATTGTTTGCACATCAGCACTTTTTTAGTCCTATATGGACACCTGTTTTTTGATACTTTATATTCATATTGGTAGATTTTTTTGAATATTTATTCACAGGGTTGTCACCCATGTTTTGATTCATATATATCTACATATTTTAATATTTATTTCAAACCTTTAGCGCTGGGACAACACTTTACACTTTCGCATTTAACACTTCTCATAGCAGCTTTAGGATCACTATTTGATTTTTAGTTTACTTTCCAAAAGCGCAGAATCTTTGTTGCAATCATGTTCGAAAACCCGCCGAGCATCGTATGATGTTCGGCGGGTGTGTAGCATGTTCGTAAGATAAAAGCCGGACGGGTCGGTGTGCGCAAGTGCACACTGCCTTTTCGGAATTGCGGTCATCGCAAGCCCACCCCTCAGGGGGCGCAGCTTGCGATCATCGCAAGTACGATTTGCCTGTCCAAGATAGGCAGATCGTACGGTTTTTTAAATTACCTTAAAACCATCGCAAGACAAAAGTCTTGCGATGGCTGTAAGGTATGTGCCCAGCCTTAGCCTTGAGAACTGTTGTGTCTACTACTTCCACTGCTCAACTCTGGCCTATTACTGCTAGATAAAAATCAAATCAACCAATCAATCAATCAGGTGACTCAGCTAATCCACCCAAAAGAGTTTTATTAAAGTTTCAGATCGGGGTGCTGCTGTATATAAGCGAAGAAATAACGTAAAAGAAAAAATTAATAAATTACACAAAGCAAATTATGTGTTGTCAGAATAAGGTATAGCTGACACTGTCCATGAGAACTGTACAGTTTCCTTACATTGCATACAGGGTAAAGGCATCTTGCAAACATGTAATTTGAAGGATTTCCCATTTTACACTGAACGTTGGACAAAGCAGAGGGCCCTTTTCCTGATGAACGGGAGTTCTTAAAATTGTTTTTTTGCATTGAGAGATGTTCCCGATGGCAGTGCACCGTTCCCTATACCCCTTGTTTGACAATCTCTTTCCTATTAGCCTTGAAAATGGCCAAAATTGATTTTCAAGATTCACCCTATTTACTTCAATGGGGTTCCAATTAAAGTTTCCAATTGCAGGAATTCACAAGGAGTTCTATCAATGGCCTGTGAATTAAATTCAAACTACATTCGCTTATTACTAAAGGCCATAAGTACTGTAAATGGGATAAAGGATAGAAGCTCCTCGATCAACCATAGCCACATTGTTTTCTTTTATTGCATCTGTTTTTTTCTCATATGGTTCTTATTTTTTGAATGTATATGCTTCTTTTTCGGTCTTAGATTACTCCTTGACACACTGCTAAAAAGCATAATCCAGTACATAATATAATAGCCTTCACACAAGACAAGCAACCATAAGCCTGGAGAAAATTCAGATCTTCCAATTCCTCTACACACTGAGGTGGACAAGGTGGGACAGAAGGGTGGAGCTTGCCCTAAGAACATTGCTGTCCCTGCTATGGCAGAGTTGTGCTGCCCTAAAAGGTGAGGAACCATTTCTGAGAAGGAATACTATTTATAGGACCAAACAGTTTTCTGTAATGAGCAGGAATTCCAATGTACACATCCATGAGGATTAAGAATGGAAAAGAAGAGGATTTCATTGTCTAGGAATCAGAAGGCTATCAATGTGAAGTCTTGCTGTGTGGGTATGAGTACCAATATATTCCTCAGAAGGTAATGGATGTGAGAGGTACAGTGGGAGAGCAAAGCAGCATATTGCTGAAAAGAATTTGGAGAGCAAAGAAGTGTGTTATGTAAGCTCCTCTGCAAGGCAAGGGTTGGATCGCAACTGTGGGGATGCGTACGGTTTAGTCAGTGGTTGGTCACTTATAACTCTCTCAATTGATTAGAGATGTGTATGTGACCCTTAACATCATGTAACCATAAGATGGTATGGTGGTATGCAGCACGTAGCACTCTAAGGTAAATGGATGAGTAATGCAATAGATTCGATGGTATAGGCGTAATGTAACAGGTATCGATAGTATAAGAGTACTGCAATCGGTATTATCAGTATATGAATAACAAGTCATTCAAGGCTGTACTAAGTTACTATCTTATTTAGAATGGTGAGCTTTATTGTACATAAAGATCATTGGCTAGTGCACCCTACGGTGTCACTGGGATACTTGCGATTGGGTGCTTCTCGGTGGAGGGAGCACAGTGTCCTTTGAGGGTTAGTCAGTACTCATGGGGTTTAGCAGTCCAGAAGCTGGCTGGTCAGGAATCCTCCCTGGATAGTCCTGGTTGTTGGAGGGTCTGCTGAATTTGTGAAGATCCTGGGTTCCAGTAGTAGGTATCTGTGGGCGATACTCACAGGTCCTTAGTGGGGTCAGCGTTGGCAGAGGGTGAATCATCAGCGCTCACTGTTGCCAATAGTTGGACGCTGATGGTTCGTTTAGCCCTCGCTTAAGAAGCCAGTGCACGTGCGCCAGGGGGAGGAGCCAATGTCCGTCGTGCGCGTGCGCCGGAGGGAGCTGAGGACGCTCGTCCTGCGCGTGCGCCAGAGGGAGCCGCCGAGATCCAACGTGCGCGGTCACGGATTTCGGCCCCAGGACGGAACCGAGTGAGTCCCTTACAAAGTGATAGATTCTCTTTACAGATGGTACAGTGAGCTACTCTAGGTCGGAGGAATCTGTCAAGCAGGACTTTCAGTGAAATTGGAGGAACATAGTGCAGAAAAGTGAAGGAAACCAAAATGTATTGAAAATAGAGGTTTAAGTTGCACAACTTTTGTAAAATATGTGGAAGCCACACTGCTCCTCTGTGTAGTGTGGTCCTACTCCTAACTCTAATCTTTGAAAGCCTCCATATTGGAGCATATTTAGCAGTAGATACATTGGAATTAATAATATTGGAGCTTAATATGCTTGTTCTGAATTTTGCCACAAATTTAAATCGAAATGTGCAATTTATACAGAAATACAAATGCCACTGGTTTCTCACCTACAACCTCTCCAATCATGAACAGCAGGCAGATAACTGACGCCACATAAAGCTTCCTCCTGGCCCGTTCCTTTTCTGTGCTTTGCCAGTCCTCCTGGGCCCGATTGGAGTGACAGTGTTTATTCCCTTGGTGACCCAGTTCAATGCCATTCAAGTCTGACACATAGGTGAACACAGGACCCAGAAATTCATTGCCAGGGATTCCAGCGTATGACCTAGTCAAAATAATCATAGGATGATAAATATTGGGCATCTGAAACAATGCCAATTTATCAAACAGTATTTTACAGAGGTACAAACAAAATATTACTACCCAGAACCATGTAACCCAAGTGGTCTGAGACCTCACCCGTCAAATCACATTGTTCCAAAAAAGCTACAATCCTAGTAGTGTAGGGGTTTTGAACGAGGCGCCAGACTGGTGTGTAAATACATATCAATTTATTAAATATCTTAAAAATACCATGATTCAGGCATAAAATACATTCATGATTACTAGATGCCTCAATTCCATTCTCTAAGGTCATGATTTACAGAAACTATACAAGATTCATGAATTCCTCATTAATAGTCTCATTTCATATTAAACATATTTAAGCATGGTCACTAAAGGTATATTAGTTATAGTAAATAACTAATTTGCATATTGAGTGGGATTTGAATACCGAAGCTCATTAAAAAGGCACAATCCCGTAATAAACATATGAATGAGCTGCGGCCTGTGTTAATGGCTCCTGCAGCTCAGTGGATATCAGGAGAACAGAGGCTGCAGTCCCTGTCAGCTGGACCCCCCCCCCTGCTTACCTGTCAGCAGTCCAAGAAGCAGTGAAAATCATGCTCGCATGCCACTGCTTCTCTTCAGCCGAACTTAGGCAGGAGATAACTCCGCCCTCCCCCGTTCTACACTGTGGAGAGGATTTCAGGTGTCCTTAGGTTCTGTGCGGCGGTGCAGTTTTTGACTTGCGGCACGGAAATTAACGAACCTGAGACTCCTTCCTGCTCCCGACCGGGCCCCCACCGACATTGGCCCCATAGCGGCAGCGTAGACTGCTATGGTGGTAGTTACACCACTGCTACCAATACTTACTTCTTAGCTGATAATTTGCTAAAAGATTTATTTTGTTCAGCCTGCAGGATGTATTGAACGCCAGCAGCAGTCAGAATACATGGACAGTGACTGCAGCTGATTGGCTTAAGCTTCTCAGTGCAGGGGTAGTGCAAGCGTTAAGATTTCATTTGCCCGGAGTTCTACAATGTACCACCCAAGTCTTAAGATCTTTAACTCTTTATTAGGACAGACAATCCTACGCATCTAGTTACAACTGATAATGAGATCTGCCAGCACAATACAGACCGGGTTAACTATGGCAAACATAACTTCCCAGACGCATTCTTAACATTATATAGAAGGGGGGAAGCTAAGCTTTCAGCAAGTAAAAAGGTAGGCAGAAAGTTATGCTATGTGAATGGAAACATGTAAAAAAATATAAAGTAGGGGTTATATTTTTCGCAAATGTGGAAATACACTTTAAAAGAGAACTATGGGGTAAGTGTTTTTTCTCTTAAGGGTCACGGTAGGACATATACTAGCGTCCTCCCGTGACCCAAAGCTCAGTATATCGCGAGCTACAGCTCGCGGTATACCGAGACCACTGCAGCCGGGACGGATCCCGACATTACTGTCGAAATCCACCCTGCTGCGTGAGTGACAGCGGGCTCCGCCTATCTAGAGGCAGAGCCAGCTGCACCCGCCCCATCCCCCAGTCAGCGCTAGAGGATCGGAGCGGGGAGAGGAGAAATCCCTGCGGGAAGCCGTGACTGACAGTCATGGCTCTCTGCAAGGAGACGATCGAGAAGTGACCCAAGCGACGATATGGGTTCGCTCACTTCCCGATCTACTGAGCCAACCTGTGACAGTCTCACCGGCGATCTTTGTGTCCGCGGGGAGCTGGGGAGGAGGTCGACGAACTTCCGTTCAGCGATCCCCTCCCCGTTCTATGGGACCGGGAGCGATGCAGATTGCATCACTTCCATAAAACAAAGACATGTGCTGAGTAAAGTTAACGCGTGATAAAGCTAGTTTTATCACGGTTTATTAAACATACACCTAAGAGGCTTTTTTGAAGGGCATTTGCACATGTGATCTTTGAATGCTTATTTGCACAACTTGTAATACAAAAGCACAACTTGTAATACAAAAGCAGAGTTTTTGGTGCCATAGACTTAAATGGGAGTGCCAGTTTTTCAGGCACTCCCATTAAAGTCTATGAAGACAAAACGCACAGTTTTGCTCTTAAAATAATTGCATGTACTTTAAGCTTCAAGGCTGGTGACAAGAGACATTATGTGTGAACAGAAGCCATTGAAAATAATATGATTTAGCAAAAGAGCTACAGCGGGGAAAGAAAGCTATCAGGAGGCTGAGCGGGGAGGACAGCTGCGGGGTTATCAGCAAATATGTAAAATATTTCCCCATCCTTCCCTGTAATAGTCAAACATCACAATGGTCAGTACTGATCTCTACAATGTTTGTAAAGAATTGTGGACATAGTAGTCAGTATTCCCGTTCATTCATGATTGTGGACATAGTAAACAGCTGCAGAAAAAGAGATTGAGGACAGTCTCTTTTTCTGCAGCCCCAGCACTCCAATGAACAGGAAGTTCTCAGTACAGAGGCTCCCTATTAATTCATAAATATTTTTTTTATTTCAAAAGGGAAATATCTGGGCTCTGTTTAGACTCTTGATATTTCCCCAAAGCCGCTAACAGTAAAGTAAAATAAAAAATAAAGAAATAAAATAATGAAAAGAAAAGTTAAGCTTCCCCCACAATTATTTTTTAAAAAAACAACAACAACAAAAACACTAAAAAAGGTGGCAACCCAGACGTGCCTCTTGAAGCTCAACATAGGACTAGCACTAACATACAGAGTGGGAGAGGTGGGCACGTCCCACACAATGATCAGTATGTATAAGTTGTTGTTCGCTTAGACAGCCGATACTTTTCAGTCTCAAGACCATGTTTAAAGCATATATCTGATTATATGCATACATAGACGTAGCATTAATCCAAGCCAACATGTGATATGGATCTCTATACTGTTCTATGAGACTGCTTATGTTTCAAATGTTACTATTTGTGCTGTAATACGTTCTCTATGCTTGGTACTCATGTATCGATCTGTTATTTGTTACAATAAACACAGAATAAAAAAAAAAAAAAAAAAAAAAAAA